TCAACAGTAACATTTAAGACAAAGGAAGGAGATAATTATAAGGGGAGAAGGTTTTTTAATCCCCCCTCAAGATATTAAAGGTTAACAGAATTCTTGGCATTTGTGCCTTGTCAATTTCCATGCAATTATGCTCGGTTTCCAGAATTCAGAGGCAACCTCGCTTGTAAATATTTGAGGATGGATGGTACCCCGGGAATATAATTTATGAGATCATTTCTCAATTTTTTTTTCTGATTCAAGCCAAGCATCTCATTTAACAGCACTGTTTTTATTAATATTATTCTTGGATATGGGGAGCTGTAAGGGTCAGTTGGAATGGCAATCAAATCAAAAATAAGTTTGTTAATAGAGCGTTGGGTCTTATTGTAGTTACTTAAACATGGATCTGTGGGTAACCTCTTGTCCTCTGGAATAGAATCATTCTTCATCTTAAAAGATGGACAACTAAATATCTTGACAGCCGATATGAAGAAATATCTCAGGCTGAATTCAGTCAACCATTTTTTTGCTAATGATATTACGTTAGAGTTCAGCATGTCGGTTTGAAATATCAATGGCATTTTAGCTTCCTGATTTTTCCATGCTGACAAAACAATCAATTTTGAGTAATGCATGTATGCCCATCCAGACATGGATGCAAAGTTCTCATTCAGACAACCTAGTTGTCCAGTCTTTTTTTTGTTAATGAACCCATAAGTGGAAGTTGGAAACTTGCGTGGATGGCTAGTACAATGTGTGAAACCAACCAATTACAGCAGAACTACAACCCCTTTATGACTTATGGACTTCAACTCCCAAAATTCCTGAGCCAGCCATGATGGCTCAAGAATTTTGGGAATTGAAGTCCACTAGTCATAAAAGGGACATAATTCCCCACCCATGAGTTACAGCCTACTCTACGTGATCAATCATGGCTTTATGCAATGTATGAACCCCATCGCATAAATTCTCAAGGTTTTCTTGCCAACATCCTGTCACAAGAGTGCAGAGAAGAGCAACCAAAATGCTTAGGGGAATGGAGGCTAAGACATGAATGGTTGCAGGAACTGGGCATGGCTAGTATAGTGAAGAGAAGGACCAGGGGAGACATGATAGCAGTCTTCCAATATTTGAGGGGCTGCCACAGAGAGGATGCAGTAGCTCAGTGGCTAAGACACTCAGCTTGTTGATCAGAAAGGTCAACAGTTTGAATCCCTAGCACTGTATAACGGAGTGAGCTCCCGTTGCTTGTCCCAGCTTCTGCCAACCTAGCAGTTCGAAAGCACATAAAAATCCAAGTAGAAAAATAGGGACCACCTTTGATGGGAAGGTAACAGCATTCCATGCGCCTTTGGTGTTTAGTCATGCCAGCCACATGACCAATGAGATGTCTTTGGACAGCACTGGCTCTTTAGCTTTGAAACGGAGATGAGCACCGCTCCCTAGAGTGGGGAATGACTAGCACAAATGTCTGAGGGGATTTTTTTTTTACTTTTATTGAGAGGAGGGGGTCAAGCTATGTTCCAAAGCACCTGAAAGCCAGGCAAGGAATAGTGGATGGAAACCAAACAAGGAGAGATTCAACCTAGAAATAAGGATAAATTTTCTGACAGTGAGAACAATCAACCCA